GATAATCCACAAGTCTTGAGTGCATCAGCAACTTTCTCGAGTGGATAAAGGTTGAAAACTGGTCTAGACAAGATAAAGACATGGTGGTGTGAAAGCTACTCATTGGAGTAGAAGATGACCAGATGTTATGAATCAAGTCGAGCTGAGTGTGTGCTGCGAATTGGTCAAAGTTCAGTCTCTGAAACATCACTCGAAAAACGGTAAATTAATCTTGTGTCAAAAAGTTTTTCAAAAGCCAGTTTAGGTCCTTACAATAACCATCATTATCTGTTTAATCCCCATTGTACTATCAAGTGAATGTGGTTGTTGTTCTATGTGCTATGAAAATTCTGATGAGTGTAAAAAGCTGTTGCAGTGGTCTGAAGTTGGTACAGGATCCCCTGGTTCGGAATAATCCGAGAACTTGGGCTTCAGTTTGTGTATGGGCCTGGCATCAAAAGAACTTGGATCTAAGGATGACGGTTGGGCTTGTAGGGTTTCCCGACTCGCAGCCCAGAAGAGATTTTGTGTGTTTAAATATTTCCTCGGTTTGGCCGCAAGAAGAAGTACAGGAAACCAAGAGTCCTTACTTCAGAAACCCTAGAAACTCAAAGAAAGAGGAAGAAGCGTATTTGAAGTCACCATGGGAGGAGAATCAAGTTCGAAGATGGTTAAGAAGAAGAGATCGAAGAAGGATCCTCTCAAAGACGATCCCAATCGACCACGGCTGAGGAGTGAAGCAGAAGAAGACGAGGGGTCGCCGGCTTTCATGACCCAGGGTCTTGAACTAAGCGGCGAGGAGATGCCTATGCCTTATCTCCGTGTTAATGAAGCGACTGATCTCATAGGTCAGCTTGCAGAAGATTATCGGAGCCCGTCGGCATCACCGGTTCGCGACGTGGAATCCGAGGAGAAAGAAGTCGAGTTTTCTGATTCTGCATGGGATCTGGGAGAAGAGGAAGATGATGAGGAGCCATCGATTCGAAACTCGAAGGCACGAAAGGTGAAGGAGGAGATGCAAAAAGAGTTGGGAAAACAGATCAAGGAGCAAGAGAGCTCTGAAACTGATGATTCAGAATCTGCTGCTGGAACAGGATCTGTGACTGGTAACGTATCCTTTGATTCTGACAAATTCTGCTCAGCTGGAGCCTACCAAAGGTACATTGTATTCAAGAATCGAGGTATTATTGGTGAAAAATTGGTAGATTTAGAGAAACAGAAGGAATTTGAGTATTCGTCTGTGATTGCCGAAGCCGGATTTACTCCCACAGTGTCGATTAAGTCAGGTTATGATAGGGAGGTTATCAACGAATTTTATGCGAATCTGGGAGACACTGTGATCAATGATGGGGGAGTTATGGTTCTGGTCCGAGGTCGCATCATTAACTTCAGTCCTGTCAAGATCAACACCTTTCTGAAGATGTCTGAATTGAGTGCCAAGGATTTTAGAACTGCTGCAGCATCTGACAAAACGGATCCAGATTATGTTGCTGCATTTCTGAAAGAAGATGGATCTCATGAAGGTATGGTTCAGGTCATCAGCAAGCGTCCCAAGAAGGTTCCAGCACTGTCTACGGTCCATCTCTCTTCTAAGTTTGCTGCATTGGCCATTCTGGCTGGACACAACTGGTACCCAACAACGCACCGTACACACATTGCTCAATACAGATCTATGCTTCTGTACAAGTTGGCTCAGAAGGTGCGAGTAGACTTTGGAGAGATGGTGTTTCAGCAAGTCATGGCCATCAGTCAAATTGAAAGAGAGGACAACAAGCAAGCCGATTCAAGAAAGCTGGTGTTTCCTCATCTGATCTATGGGATGATTCAGGAACAGTGTGGAGGTTTTGTCAGCGTGGATGAGGTGTTAGTACTGCCTACTCACTATCAGATGGATGGTAGAACTGAGAAGAAGGACACAGGAGCATCCAAATGGGCAACCAGGACGTCACTGCGTACCAGGACCAAGACTGTTGCACCAGTCAAAGATGAACCCACAACCAAGAAGAGAGCCCAGTCGCCTTCAAGTCAACCTGTACTGAAGAAGAAGACCAAGAGGGAGCCAGAACAGTCCAAGCCATCTAGCGCAGCTCAGTTCGATGACTCAGGCTTAGCAATTGATGTTTCACTTGGCCACATCAGTGTGCCTCTGGGTCGCTCAAATCAGAAGGTTGTCAACAAAGCTCTGTATCAGATTACTTCTGTGCTGCATCAGCTGGCTGGGATAGTTCGGGATGTGCGTCAGGCTAATCAAGGTGAGTTTTCATGGTCTCTTGTCATTCTGTTTTTGTACACTGATGATTGTGTTTTTAACTTGTGTGCTCCCAAGCAGGGGGAGAAGTAAGTGATGACGAGAGTGGCTAAGTAGGAGATGGTCTATGGGGAGCAAGCAGGGTGTTTTGTTGTTATTTTTTTTAAGTGATTTTGAGAACTCGGTTTAAATTATGGGGGAGTTTTTCTTTTGTGTTCTGTTTTACTCCTCGTTCCAAACTCTAGTACTTTATTTGTGTTGGTTTATGCTTGTAACAACTTTTACAAGTTTAATCCGTATGGATGAGTTGGAATTTGGTTGTGCTTGGTGCTGGTTGTCTCTGTGTTGTTGTGAGTTTGTTTTGCA